GGAGGACAGAGAAGAGCCAACAGAACTGGGTGGTTAACTCCACCCTCTTACCAGTTGAGGGACCTCACAGAGCCTCAGTTTCCCCATCTGTAAAATGGGGACAGCAGTGCCTCCCTCATGGGGCCGTTGTGCACTTGTTCTAGGGGTGGCATTGCTCACCACCACCCCTCTCCCCGCCTCAGAAAGGGCAGAGGTGGCAGAACCTGGGGGAAGAAGGACTTGGGGTGTAGAAGGTTAGGGGGTGGACATCCGGATACTCTGTCACCGAGTGTGAGCCCTGGCCCCTCTCTGGGTCTCAGTTTCCCCCTTTCTGACGAGGCCCCCAGCCCCCTTGTGGTTTTGCAGCCGCAGGAGGGTGAGGATGGGGACAGTGGGGAGGGAAGGGGGGTCTTGCAGATCCCCGGGGCCCAGTCTCAGCACCTTGGGGACAGAGGTCCGCTCGCCCAGGCCCCTGCCCAACAGAGCGCCTTCCCCGCCCCCGAGAACGCGCACGGACAGCTTGCAGGAAGATTACGGCTGATCCCCAGCAGGTCACTTCCAAGGCTGCAGGACATAGTGCCAGGCAGGGGAGGAGAGGAGGGACCCCGGAGACCCACCCACGCTGCCTCGGCCCTGCGGGGCTCTTCAGGAAGCTGGGTGGCTGCCCACTGCCCGTCACGCGCCCTGCGGTGGCTTCGGCCGTTTTCCTCACATGACCCTGGGGGAGGCAGGGCCCCGTTCCCATGAAGGGGGGCCCTTCACAGCCTGACTCATCCCTCAGAAGCATGGCTGCCCCTTTCTTTGCTCAGCCTTTCCCTGGGCCCAGGAGGCAGGATGGAGGACTTGGGCGGGGACACTGGCAGGAAGGCGGGTTCAGCTTGTGGTGAGGAAGAAGACTCAGCAGCCCCCTTGTTAGGGAGTGAGCTCCCCGTGGTCAGAGGTGTGCAAGTGGGGAGAGTGCAAGCCAGGGATGCTGAGGAGGGAATAGTCTTTTCTCTTGACTCCCGTGCTGTCTGTGTCTCTACCCATCTATCAGGCCTGCTGTTCGCTCCCCTTGAAGCCTTTCCTGACCCTCCCTCTGGGTCTGGGAGTGAGGCATACACCCAACAAGTAAAGAATAAGTAGGAAAAATATTCTATAATGATGTTATCAAGAAAATAAATGGAGGTATTGGAGAATATTATAGATCTGGGAGTCACGTCTAGAGGACTTCTCTGAGGAGGTATCTTTCACTGAGATTTGGATGTTGAGAAGGAACCAGTGGGAGCCAGCCAGGATCTGGGGATATCTAGGGAACAGCCAAGTGCAAAGGCCCTGAGGCAGGAATGAGCTTGGGAGGGAGCGAGAAGAGTGGTGGGAAGTGTGTCTGAGAGGAAGGCAGGAGCCCTGGGGGTTGTGGGGGTTGAGGGGACTTCACTGTGGGGTGTCGGAGGGTGGGGGATGGAGCAGGGGGTGACGTGATCTGACAGGTTTAAAGAGACCACAGCAGCTGCTGTGCAGGGGGTGGGAGTGGACATACAGGGACTGGGACGCTGCTGTCATCGCCTGGCAAGAGGCGGCAGTGGCCGGGAACAGCCTGGGGGACGGGGAGTGATTTGAGTTATTTAGGGAAGGATGGAGAACTAGGCCCCACTGCCAGATTGGAGCGGGTTTGAGGCCAAGCCCAAGGTGGGAGCCAGAGCTCGGATGGATGGGGACGCTGGAGGCCACTGGGGGCTGGGAGAGCCCGGAGGTGAGACCAGCGGCCCAAATAGGGGGACAGAGCTGGCCTAGGGGCTGGACTTGACCCTCCGCCTGGGAAGGGCCTGTGAGAGTTGGGGTTGGGGAGCGCCCCTGGCTGCCGCCTGGAGCCGGCTTGGAGGAGTCGAGGAGGCCGAAGGGGAGGCTGTTCTGAGCTGCAGCCTAGGAGTGAGCAGCGGCCAAGACTACAAAGTGGAGAGTCAGCGAGCAGTCAGCTGGCCGCCTGCAGAGTGGGGCAGGGACCGGCGCACCTAGCTTGGGAGCAGATGTCCCTGTACAGGTGAGAGACACTGTACAGGTGCCATGTGGAGCTGGCGGGACCAGAGGCCGCGGGCTCCAGACTCGTCTCTCTGCAGCTTACCTGGGGGAAACTCGGCACGTGCCTAGAGAGGTTTAAAGCCAGGCCTCTGGGAGCTTCCCGGCGGACAGCAGTGACCTCTGCCCTTCGGGCTGGCTGGGCCTGGCTCTCCTGGAGCCAGGTCAGCCTCGTGCCTGGCAGTGGCCCAGGCGCAGCCTGCTAGCTCTGTGTGCAGATGTGGAGTAAAGTGGGCCCGGGTCCTCCTGCTCTGTGGGTGGTGACGCGGCTCGGGACCGCAGGTGTCCCTCCTGGGTGTCATGCTGGTCCTAGAGTCTGGGATCTGGAATTCGCTCCTCCATGGGGAGGCAGCTGAAGGTAGGGGTCTGGCTCACATTCTGGAATGGGCTGGAGGGGGACAGGTGGGCAGGAGGCCCCGTGCCCTGCTTACCTGCTACAGGCCTCTTTGAGCCTCAGCCTCCTCTGTGAAATGGGCTAAGGAAGCCTTGCCCTAGGGGACGGTGTTTTCAAGTTTATTTTTTCTTTAGAGGTTTTGATGAGGATTAAATGAGATGATTTTCATTAAATGCTCCCAATCCATGCAGGGTCCTCATGGAGGCTGCGGGCTGGCTCAGGGTCTCGTGGGGAGACAAACCCATAAATGAGCCCCAAGCAGAGTGTGTGCAGGGTCCGGGTGGGGGAGAGTGACTGGGAAGGAGGGTGTCCCAGAAGGCAGCCGGGAATCGCCACCTCCCAGCAGGGTTTTGAAGGGTTAGAAGGAGTTTGCTCCTATTTGAAAGATGGAAAAGGTGGGGAAGGGCATTCTGGGAGGTAGGAACAGCTGGTGCAAAATTATCAAGCAGACTGTGTCTGTGCCAGCCACGGCCCTCTGGGATGGCTGAGTGGGATGGGGGAGGAGAAGGGGGGCCAGAGCGGGTCTGGCAGTTCTGAGGTCTCCGTTTCTGTGCATCACTGAATCCACTAGCCCAAGATCCTAAAATTCCAAGATTCTGAGATTCCTTCCGATGTGTTTTCCTGAGTTTGACACAGCTCTGTTCCAAGTGCCATCTGGAATCCCTTTTTAAAAAGACTAGGATTGGATCATAAAAATGGTGGAAAAAAACAAGAACCTCGGCCCGTTTACCTTGGTGCTTTCTTTTTAGCATTTTCTTTCTTTTTTTTTTTTTTTTTGGTGAGGAAAATTAGCCCTGAGCTAACATCTGTTGCCAATCTTCCTGTTTTTGCTGAGGAAGATTGGCCCTGAGCTAACATCTGTTGCCAATCTTCCTGTTTTTGCTGAGGAAGATTGGCCCTGGGCTAACATCCATGCCCATCTTCCTCTATTTTGTATGTGGGACACCTTCCACAGCGTGGTTTGATGAGCGGTGCGTAGGTCCGGGCTGGGATGGAACCCACGAACCCCGGGCCGAAGTGGAGCGCGTGAACTTAACCACTACACCACTGGGCCGGCCCCATTTTTATTTTTATTTTTTTTAGTATTTTCTTTAGCGCGAGGGAGAGTTTGCTTTTCCTGTGCCTGCTGAGGACCAGTGCCTCCCTGGGTCCTCCCGGAGGCTGCCCTCCATCCCCTCCTGTTTTGGGCGCTGAACCTGCCTCTGCAGACCTGTCCCCCGTCACCGTCCCCAGCACAGATCCGCTTGTTAGGCGAGTCTTCCCCGTGCCTCTGCCTCTGGCCAGCGTCGAAGTTCATTCTGGTTTAATTTCCGGTTCTCCGGTGGCTGCTGTGTGCCCCTCGCTGTCCCTGCAGATCCGGCCTTGGTGAGTCACCCCGGGGACCGCCTGACTTGGAGCAGCAGCTTTGGGTTCAGAGACTCGGCGTTGAGTCTGGATCCACCCCAAACCTGCTGCATGACCGGGCGGGTCCCGGACGCGGCTGTGAAATGAGAATGAGGACCGGACCTCGTGGAGGTCAGAGCGTGTGGTTCAGCCACGCAGCTGGTCCTGAGTGGGTCCCCCTCCCTCCTCCCTCGGACTCTGAGCTACTGAGGGAGAGAAACTGAGCCGTGCCCTGCTCCTGGGGGCTCCCTCCCACCCGGGTGGGGAGACGGCAGCTAAATGGAGATGTTAACCCAGGGCTCAGAGGGTCCTGGGGGAGTTCGGGAGACCCAAGGGACGGGTTGTGTATCCTTGGCAACGTTTCTTCCCTTCCCCGAGCCTCAGTTTCTCCATCTGTAGACTCTCAGGCCTGGTCCAGGGGAGGCTGCCTGTCCTGGCCCAGCCCTGTGGCCGGCAGGGGACCTGGCGTGCAGGCCCCTGTTCTGATTATCTTCACGCCAACCCCCGCACACAGCTCCCTGCCCTCCTGCTCTCGCTCTTCCTCTCACTCCCCACAGATGTGTCACATATTCTGGGGGCCTCACCTTCAGACTATATCCAGCACCCCACCCCTTCTCACCATCACCGCTGCTGCGCCGCGCCAGCTCCCTCACCCCTCACCTGGGCCCTGCGTGGCCCCCAGCTGGTCTCCCTGCTTTCCCTGTGCCCCTACAGTCCTTTCTCTCCATCACATGAAGTGGCTCCTGAACTCACCCTGCCCCTCAAGGCCCTGGGGCCAGCCCCTTCCTACCTCAGTGACCTCACCTCCCTCACTCTGCTCCGGCCACACTGGCCTGCCCATGCCTCCTCAACACACTGAGCTTATTCAGGCCCCAGGACCTTTGCACTTGTGGTTTCTTCTCCCTGGAACCTCCCTCCCAGATATCTGCAGGGCTGTGCCTCGCTGCACTCGGGCTGCTGCTCAAAGGTCGCTTCATCAGAGCCCCGCCCCCTCCAGGTCACCCAGTCTGTCTCCTCCCTCCCTGCTTTATGCTTTCTCAGGACACTTGTCAGGACTTGGGCACAAATTTGTCGGCTTACTGTTATCTCCCTCAGTGAGAGCAGGGGCCTTGCTGCCTCCACAGCCTCTGGCACAGGGCCTGGCACATACCAGGGGCTCAGGAAACCATGTTGAGTGAATGAACAACCGATGGCGAACCCCGGTTCTCTGGCCCCTGCCATGAGGCCTCCCAGGCCCCGGACGCAGTGGGCCCTGTGGGTGCAGAGAGGTCAGCTCCCTGGACGGCACATGCCGAGCGGAGGGGCCCCTGGCAGCTCGCCCCACCTCCCCCGGACATGAGCAGAAGAGTTAGTTCCAGCTCAGGACCTCGGCGTGGTGGAACAGTCTTCCAGAGAGGAAACAGTGAACGGGGCGGGGTGAGAAGGTGGGGACGCGGGTGGTGGTGGGGAGGCCCAGGTGGGCGGGGCCGGTCCCTGCACGGCCTGGGCCACCAGCCCTAGAAGCTCGGAGTGCACCCACAAGGCCGTGGGGAACCTCCGTGCTGCAGGGTGCGGACCGTGGTCCACAGAGCCAGATCTCGTCACCCCCCGTGACCTCTCACTGCATGTCAATCCCGTGTCCTCGCTGCGGCCCCCCAGGCCCTGTCCCCCTCCCGCCCCCTCCCCCTCCCCCGTACTCTCCAGCCCCAGCTCCCTGGTCACTGCCCCAGCCACCACCTCCTTCTCCACCTTCGGCCTTTGCCTTTTCTGTTCTTCTGCCCAAAACACGCTTCCCCCTGATCTTCGCAGGGCTGGCTCCTTCCCGTCTCAGCTCGAAACTCACTGCTCAGGGCCCCCTTCCCTGACCACCGCCGCCTCCCCCCAGCCTCTGCCAGCGTCCGTCATTGCCTTAATCGTCTGCTCCGCTTGTTCAGCGTCGGTCTGGCCTTTCTGGGTGCTACTCCACGTCCTCTGCTCCCTGCACGCACAACCGCATTCACTCCCCGCAAGACGTCAGGGAGACCACCAGGCGCCCTTGTCCCACTTCACAGATGAGGGAACTGAGGCTCAGAGAGGGTAGGTCGCTGGCTCAAGGTCCCCCCGCTGGACAAGTGGCCAAGCCGGGATTCAGCAAGCCCAGGTAATCTGACCCGACTCTTGCCCGCACTCCCGCCCCTCCCGACAGCTGCCCGCAGCAGGGCTGGCACGGACGGCCGTGGTACCCCTGGACCCGCCTCCCGCACAGTGCCAGGCGCAGAAGCCGTTGTCCTGTGGTGAATGCCTGGCCCGGGCGTGTCTGCGGGCGCCGTGGGATGGAGAGGCGGCTGCAGCAGCAGGGAGCTGGCGTGCAGCCTCCTCCCTCGCTCTGCCTGCGGTCCCCGTCCCTCAGAGGGTGTTTTCATCTTGCTCCTCACCCTCCTGGGGAACACGTCGCTTCCAGCACAGTCCTGTCCGAGGACTCCCTGCTTCCCTCCCCTAAGAGGCCCCGTCCTGATGGTTCCTCCTCTGCTGTCCCCAATGCCCGGACTTGCGCGGCCTGCTTCCCCTCCTGCCTCCTCCAGGCCTGCTTGTGGAAGCAGGTCCACCCTTGTTCCCACCTCCGGCAGCAGCGGTGTCTCTTCAGCCCCAGGGAGCGTTGTCTGTCAGGAGGTGCTGCCCAGGAGCCTTCCTGGCCTCTCCCTCTGTCCCGGGGCCTCAGGAGAGGGGAGTTCACCCTCACTACGCTCCTGCTCTGCACTGGGCACTTCGTGTACTTCTCCCATCAGCCCTGCAGGGAAGGCTGATTTTTACAGAGGACCAGTCGGAGGCTCAGAGAGGTTAAGTCACTTGCCTGAGGCCACACAGCATGAGCATCAGGCCAGGGATTTGGATCCAGCAGGTCTTTGTGATTCCTCAGTGTCTGAAGTCTCTCCCTAATCAAGAGGCTTTTGCATTCTGCTGGATCGGTGGCATCTGGTGACACTGGGACAGGGCCTCAGATTTCCGACTTGGCAGTTTTCTGGTAGGAACCTTGGACTGGTCTCGGTGCACAGGTCCCAGGGGCTGTGTGAATGGCGGTCCCTGGAGTTGTGCAGTGCACGGCCCAGGCAGCTGGCTGTCAGAGCCTGCCTTTGTCTCCAGTGTCCAGTATCTGCCTTGCGTGTCTGGACCGTGTCAGTAGCCCAGGGGTCCCTTTGACAATTGCTGTGAGGTCAGGACTTCCTGTCACTCCCCTCCAGTGCCCCGGGGCACCAGACTTGGCACTCCAGTAACACCGCCTGATGCTTTCCTGGCCTGCACGCCCTTGTCCCTGCTGATCCCCCATCTCTGGAAATAGCACCCCTTCTTCAGGGCCCGCCTCCTGAGGCTGCGGGTCAGCGTGGTCGGGTGGAAAAGAGCACGGGGCTGAGAGACAGGAGAGCCGGGTTCAAGTTCAGCTCGTGCTGCTGGCAACAGCGTCACCCCCTTTCCGAGCCTCAGTTCTCCTCCTCTGTTCATCAAGTGGGTACCATTTGCCTCTGCTTCTCGGGGCGATTGTGAAGATGCAGGACCTGTGACGGGGCAGGGCCGTGAGCCGGCAGGCCTGTTTGGGTCTGTGGATGTGGTTCTGTGTACATTCCCAGATCAGCAGCCTTATGGCTCACGGGCCGCTTCTGCCCATGGCTGCACCAGGACACGGCCCCACCATCCTTTTTTTCTTTCTTTCTAATGGCAGAAAAATTCACATAACATATAATAAACCATCTTAAAGCATACAGTTCAGTGGCATTTAGTGCACATTCACAGTGTTGGGCAACCACCACCTCTCTCTGGTTTCAAAACTTTTTCATCACCCCGTAAAAACACTCCATGCCTGTTAAGTAATCACTCCCCATTCTCCCCTCCCCCATCCCGTGGTAACCTCCAGTCTGCTTTCTGTCTGTATTTTGTCTATTTCAGATGCAGTATATAAGAGGAATATAATATTGACCTTTTGTGTCTGGCTCCTTTCACTAGTGTTTTTCTTTAACTTCTTTTTTCACGTGTTTTAAGGTTCATCCAGTTGTAGCACATATCAGAATTTGTTCCTTTTTATGGCTGAATAATATTCCATTGTATGGATATGCCACAACTTGTTTCTCTGTTCATCTGGGATGGGTATTTGGGTCAGAGTCCTTCTTCTTTTTTTTTTTTTTTTTGTGAGCAAGACCAGCCCTGAGCTAACATCCGTTGCTAATCCTCCTCTTTTTGCTGAGGAAGACTGGCCCTGGGCTAACATCCATGCCCATCCTCCTCTACTTTATATGGGATGCCGCCATAGCATGGCTTGACAAGCGGTGAGTAGTGCACGCCTGGGATCCAAACCTGCGAACCTCAGGCTGCCAAAGCAGAGCGCACGCACTTAACCACTGCGCCACCGGGCCGGCCCCTAGAATCCTTCTTAACACAGTATCGTGAGCCGATGATCTCCAGACTTTCGATCATGCACTTCCTCAGGAAACATTTTTGAATCAATCCTCCCATTAAATGTGGACTTATTTGTTCCATATATATTATTACTACACTAATATATCCAGCACATTATAAAACCTGTGTCAAGTGTAGACCTTGTAAAAAGATCAGATAAAGTAACATTTCTCATGTTTTTTCCCACACCAACCCTGGGCGTTAGGTGAGGGTGGAAATGTGCGTGGCTTGTATTGAAATTATAGTTTCTATTGTAGAAAATTGGAAAACACAGAGAAGTGGAAAATGGACAATAAAAATCCCCTCTGGCCTTCCTCTCAGGCTCACTGCAGGCCACACCCGAGGCTCTGCTGCATGCGTGTGTGTGTGTGTGTGTGTGTGTCCGTGCGTCCATCAGGGCTGAGCCTCCTCAGCCTCACACAGTTTCGGGGAGGTGAGGCAGGAGCAGAAAGCATGAGCTTCAGAGGCGGGGCTCCTGGGTTGAAGCCTGCTCTGCCACTCCCCAGTTGTGTGACTCTGGGCATGTTAACCAAAGCTTGCACCTTCACTGTCTCATCTGCAAATGTAGATGATACTGAGTGTGTCAGTCAGCTACTGCTGCGTAACAAAGTACCCCTGAAGGTAGAGGCTTAAACAACAAACATTTGTTACCTCGCAGTTCCTGCGGGACAGGAATCTGCTTAGCTGGTTGCTGCCGCCTCGGTTCTCTCAGGTTGCTGTTGCAGCGTCAGCCAGGGCTGCGGTCTCCTCTGAAGGCTGAGGGTGGAATCATTTTCAAGCTCACCTACGTGATGCTGGCGGACTCGGTTCCTTGTGGCAGCTCACAGCGTGGCCGCCACTTCCATCAGAGCCAGCTAACGAGAGGGGGAGGAGAGGGCGAGCAAGAGGGAAGCCAGAGTCCCCGTAACCTCCTCGCAGAAGTGACATCCTGTCACTTTTTGCCTTATTCTGTTAGAAGCAAATCCCTGGGCCCAGCCCACAGTCAAGAGAACAGAGATGGCACAGGGCGTGAATGCCAGGAGGTGGGGTCACGGGGGGCCGTCTCGGCTGGCTGCCTCCCCAGCTGAAAGAGACTGTCGCAAAGGTTGTGGGGGTTAAATGAGGTGCCGCGTCTCACGCACGTGGGTCATGCAGGTTGCCCTGTCACTGGCAGGATTGGACTGGAGTTATTCTTTCATTCGTCACTCCTTCCACTTGCCAGGGCCCGGGCAACAGGGAAGGGTCGGACCCAGGACGGAGCTTGAAACCTCAGCAGCCCATGGCTCCGCAGAGGGGCCGGGAGCACCAGATGGGGCTGGGCAGGTGCCAGCATCTGGAAGAGTCAGCTGGGAGGTGGGGCCTTGGCAGGTTCTCCTCCCAGGAGGGCATGAGACCACTTGTTCTGGGAGGCTGCGTCCGGTCCTAGGGGAACCTTGGTGTCAGGACCCAGGAAGACCTCTCAGGACCTGGCTGGCTGGAGGGGAGGAGAGGAGGTTAGGGCCAAATCTATGGTCAAAGAGCCCTCAGTGCCTGCAGCTGAGGAAAGAAGTGATTATTCCCTCCTGTGCTGTGTGACCTTAAGCAAGTTGCTCACCCTCTCTGGGCCTCCCCTCTGAAATGCCTGCTTAACACCAGCCTTGTGGCTGTTTGGAGTGAAGAGGGCTCACAGAGGGGCAGGCAGTAAGCCGAGGGGGTGTTGGCAGCACCCCCTCCTCCAGGGCTGGTACTGCGTGGGGGCCGGGTCTCACGCGCACCCTCTCTGCCCCTGCCCCTCCCCCCCCAGTTGTTCTCCATCGTGGTGTTCGGCTCCATCGTGAACGAGGGCTACCTCAACAGCCCCTCGGAGGGCGAGGAGTTCTGCATCTACAACCGCAACCCCAACGCCTGCAGCTACGGCGTGGTGGTGGGCGTGCTCGCCTTCCTCACCTGCCTGCTCTACCTGGCCCTGGACGTGTACTTTCCGCAGATCAGCAGCGTGAAGGACCGCAAGAAGGCTGTGCTGTCGGACGTCGGTGTCTCGGGTGAGCCCCGCCCCGTGGGCACCCCGCACGGCAGTCTGCAGAGCGCTGTCCCCGCCACGGCCCCTTTGTCCTCACGAGGTGCAGGCGGGCGAGGGGACAGACTTGGGGCCACGTGGCTGACAACAGGGAGGGGTGGGACTGGGGCTGGCCTGAGACCCCAGAACAGCCCACAGCTCCTGCGGGGAGGGGAGCGCGGCCTCCGGAGGAGTCGTCTCTTTTCTCAGTGGCCTCTTCCAGGCCACCTCTCTGGTGGGGCCCCACGAGAACTAAACAAGGGGGGCTGAAGGCCCCGGCACAGCTGGTGCCCTGGGAACGCCAGCCAGACCCGGGGAGGCTCAGGACTGGAGCTGGGGAGCTGACGCGACCCCCTGCCCTTGCCCTTCAGAAACGGCCCTGGGAGAGGTACCCTGACCTGCGTCCCCACAAGTTCTGAGAATCTGATTGGTTGGGGGTCAGTGAGGCTTTGGCCTCCCTGGCCTGAGGCCGTGGTCTCAGGTCTCTAGTTGGGACCTCCCCCCAGGTCCAGGCGTGGGACTCTCAGGATGAGCCCAGCAGTGAGGCCTGGGATCCCTTAGACTTGAAGGAACTGGAAGGAAATTAATAGTTCTCAAACTGTGTTCCAGGGAGCCCCGGGGTTCCCCAGCACTGCCTCTGGGAGGGGCCAGGCTCTAGACTCCCCCAGGCACACACGCACTTTATCCTGAGCAGCTCCTGCCCCTGGGCACCCACAGAAGATCTTGTTGCCACAAGTCTTCCACTCCTAAACCCCCAGACCTCGGCTCTCAGAGGGCCCCTCACTAACCTCGGGGCATTGTGAGGCTGCAAACTCATCAGAGGGCGAGGCTCAGCCCACCTGGTTGAGCCGCCAGCCTCGCCCCAGCCTCCCCTCATCCTGCCCCATGGTCGGGCGGGGGGTCGGGCCGGTGCTCCTCCCAGATTGCTGCAGGCCTCAGGGGTGGGCCAGGGGTCACCCAGGGGTTCCGCTGGGAAATCTGTGTTCGACTGAGGTTAGAGAAATGCCGGCCTAGGCTGAACTGACTTTTCTTTTCTCTCCGTCTCCCCCTCCTTCCCTCCCCATCACTGCCCCTGGCTCTCCCCGGATCTGCTCCCGGCCTTGCTCTCTGCTCGGCCTGGCTGGCTCCTTTCCCTGGTCTCTCTTCCGCTCTGCCTCTGCACAACCTCTCTGTTCTCGCCTCACCTTCCCTGTGCTCCCGCTTGCCCCCCCCCCGCCTCTCCTGTTGGGGGTGGGGGAGCATGGGAGACGTGCTCTCGAACCTCTCCCTGGTCCTCGGTTTCCCATTTCCTCCCCGTGCGTGGCCCGTTCTGCCTGGCCCTGGTGGACACCCCAGCCGTCTGGGCCTTCCTCTGGTTCGTGGGCTTCTGCTACCTGGCCAACCAGTGGCAGGTCTCCAAGCCTAAGGACAACCCACTGAACGAAGGGACGGACGCGGCCCGGGCCGCCATCGCCTTCTCCTTCTTTTCCATCTTCACGTGGGTGAGTACACCGCCCGCCCAGCCCACACTCACCTGCCCAGCCAGGCTCTCTGGCTGGCAGCCTTCTCAGCACCGCCAGGGACTCCATTCTGCTTCCTGGAGTGCACTCGTCCCCCCGCTTCCCTCCTCCACGCTCACGGCAGGCTGCTCCCCAAGGAAGGAGACTGTAGCCGATTGCCAGCGAGGACAGTCACGTGGTGATGGCAGACCCTCGCTTAGGTGCAGAGCACCCTTCCTGTGCTCTGGGACCCCCTCCCAACCACTCCGGTAGTTGGGTGGTCAGTATTTATTTCCCTCTTTTACAAACAAGAAAGCTGAGGCCTAGATGGGAAGATAAGGCTGCAAGGTTCTGAGGCTGGGAAGGAGCCCAGGCCTGGGTCACGTCTTGGGGCTGCCTCTAATTTTCCGGGCCTCTGTCTTCCCATCTGTAAAATCGGAGATTGGATTTGCGGGGGGGCAGTCACAAACTCAGATGCCCACAGGGCAGGCAGGACGTGAGAAGGCAGGAGTGGGCGGGGGGCACGTTCATGCCCGTCCTAAAAGGACACCGTCTCCTCAGCCCCTGTTCTGAAGCAGGAATGGGCACCCACAGAGGCCAGGTCTTCCTATTTTTCCAGAGAAGCCAGAAATCTATCTGTATGTGTTAGCAATGTATTCAAATTAAAAAATATATATTGTATGGGTCAAAGAAAGCATGTGTCCGGGCACGCCTGGCCAGAGGGGACCCCTTTGTGGGCTCTGGACCCAGTGGTCTCAAGTACCCACCAGCATGACGGCAAGGCTGCCCCTCTTTCCCGCTAGTTCCAGGTCATCTCAATGTATTTCTTCTTTGCTCATCTCCCTCCTGCAGATATCTGGGGTCACATCGGCTCAGTGCCCCCATCCCAAGGGTTCTCCCCTCCCTACCTGCAGCCCCCTCCCCTCCAGGCCCTCCACAGTCCTGGGCCCAGCCTTCTGCAGGGGGGAGACGCCGGGGCTGTATACAGGCAGCCAGCCTTCCCTGTCCCCCACCCTCCTGGGCCTGTCCTGGGGCAACTTCTTTCTCCTTTTGAGGGTCCCTGGATATCCATTTTCTCCTGGGAACCCTGCCCCCCACCCCCTACAATATTGGGAGCTAGAGTTGGGAGGAGGAGACCTATGGTTTAGGCCCCAGCAGGCCAGTTGTGGTCACTCCAGCTCTCCGTGGCCTCAAAGCTGGGCAGGAAGAACCAGGTGACCCCAGGGATCTCAGACCAGAGCAGGTGCCCCGCAGTGGGGGGCCTACCCAGCCCTGCAGGGAGGAGTTTGGGAGCAGCCAGGGCTGAGATGGGAGTGGGGCTCACAGAGGAGGAGCAGGTGATTGGACAGCAGGACTTTTGGGGGCGGGTCTGAAGGTCTGACTGACAGGTGCCCACGGCCGCTGAAGCCAGCCTCCCTGCTGGCCCTTTGCCCTTCCCGGCTCCTGCCCGCTGGCCTCACCCGTGCTCTCTCCTGGCAGAGCCTGACTGCAGCCCTGGCCGTGCGGAGATTCAAGGACCTTACCTTCCAGGAGGAGTACAGCACGCTCTTTCCCGCCTCGGCCCAGCCGTAGGCCTGCCCGGCTTCCAGAGCAGGGAGCCCCGTGTCAGGCCCGGTGGGAGGCTGTGGGGCAGCCTGGGGCCTGGAAGAGCCAGGGTGCCAGAGCACGCGGGGCAGCAGAAGGCCGGCCTGAGAGGCCAGTTAAGATGCGCCCTTAGTCATTTGCTGCCTCCTCTGTTTATTCCTCATGTGTCCATCCATTTAGTAAACATTTATTGAGCAGCTGTCTTGTGCCTGGTGATGAATCAGACAGGGTCCCTGGCCCCAGGAGCCCGCAGGCTGGGGAGGGGAAGACAGACAAATGGAAATCTCCCCCAAATGGGCTGCCACGGGCTGCTAGAGGGTTGGAGGTGGCTGCATACGTGGGCTGCCAGGGTGCGGAGCTGTGGACAGTGAGAGCCTGTCCTGAGCTTACAGTCCCCATGGAGGCTGGCTGCCAAGGGGGGCCTGGCTGAGGACATTAGAGGACTCCTGGCCCGGATCTACTCTCGTGTGTTGTGTGACCCTGGCAGATCCCTGCCCCTCTCTGAGCCTCAGTCACTTCCCTGGACTGAGGAGTGATCATGGGCCAACCTCTCAGGGCTGTTGTGTGGATGAAACAGAGGCTGGCACGGGGCTTGGCACAGAGATGCTCAATAAATGGAGGCTCTTTCTTCTTTGATTCATTCACTCGTTCTCCAAGGAGTCGGGGGCACCTCCATAATCTCTGCTTTGGGGATGATTCACATGTGATGAGTCCTTATTCTTGCAAAGGACTTTGCCGTCTGGTCCTACACGGGTTCCCTCCTTGGGGCCTCAGCTGCCTGGGCAGGAACCCACTGATCCCTCCACTCTGCAGGAGTTGAGCAGGTAATGGAGCACAAATGGCCCCCAGAGCAAAGCACACAGAGAGTGAGCATCCTGACACCAGAGGCATACAAGTGCAGACTGCCTGCTGCACAGTGAGGAGGCTGCAGAGAGTGTACCTGCTCTGAAGAAGCAGGGTCAGGCAGACCACCAGGTCCCTGGGTTCTGAGCAGAACTCCCAGCCTCGCTTCCGCACCCCCATCCAGCAGGTGCCCACGCCTCTTCCTTGCTCCTGTCTTGTGGCCCCTTGAACTGGATGGCTAAGGGAGGCCTTGGCTCAGTGGGGGCAGAGGAGTGACCACAGAGAGCACTAGGTGCCTGTAGCCAGAGGCCTCTCCCTGGAAGGGTCTGCAGAGGTCATCTGCACCAGCCCTCTGCCTCCGCGCAGGAAGCCAGCCTGGACAGTGGAGCCAGGGAGCTCCGGGAGAACCAGGTCTGTAGGTGTTCATCTCGGGGACTCGCTCATTCATTCCCTGTGCGCTCTAGTGGGCTTGCCGATTGCTCCAGGGTGCTGAAGACCTGGCCTCTACCCTAGGGGGGCTTCTCAGCTCCTGCTTCTCCAAGCTCCTGTGTCTGAGCCCCCGGCAGCCAGGACCTCGTACCCACAGAGTGGAAAATACAAGAGTACCTCACCTGGTTTCCCCAGTCTAGCTCCCCTTGGCCTGGTCTGCCGTTCCCAGGCCCCTGGCACTTTGCTTGTAACATCCACTTCCCAGGAAGGGCTGCCCCTCAGAGCTTTCTCCAGTGACACAAATCAAAAGTTAATGCCTAGTCACTGAGCTTCTGGAACTTTCGGGAATAAAACGCCAAGCACACTTTGCTTCCTGAGTCTACCCGGTGGCCCTTTTGGGTTCCTGGTTGACTTAGTGCCTTGTCAGGGGGCTGACCAAAGGGAAGGAGATACGGAGGGCTCTGGCCTGGGAAGGGGCGGGACCCCCGTGTTCAGGTCTGGCTCTTAGCATTTTTCCATCCCAGGCAGATTACCTGGGCTGGAAAGATCTCTGGACAAGGTTTTCAATATAAACCTATAAACTGTTTTTTTAATGACAGATTTAATTTATTCTCTAGCTTGGTGTGGTCAGTGTCATTGTCCTTGATAACAATGTGATTGCTTTTACCGAGAAAGTTTCCCACCTAGGCATGTATGCTGTAGACAAGTCTTTGCCAACTGGATCCTGTGAAGAAAGGGCTTCAGTGGTCAGATAAGGTTGGCAAGTGTTGTTTGCCATAGTTTCCCCTTGGGGATCCCAGCACACATTAAATAGTCAAGGCTCTGACAAGTCCTCTGATCCTGAAACTTGTTTCACTCTGATTAACTCAGTTTCCCAAACTTGTTTGACCAAGTGTTTCAGTTAGAATTAGGTTCAGCAGCAAATGACAGAAATCATGCGTAACAGTGGTTTAAATGAAGTCCAAGGGCCGGCCCTGTGGCTTGGTGGTTAAGTGCGCGCGCTGCGATGCTGGCGGCCCGGGTTCGGATCCCGGGTGCGCATCGAGGCACCACTTCTCCGTTCATCCTGAGGCCGAGTCCCACATACAGCAACTAGAAGGATGTGCAGCTACGACACACAACTATCCACTGGGGCTTTGGGGGGAAAAAAAAATAAAATAAATAAACAGGAACCTCCTGTATACTAAATGAAGTCCAAGTGTGGAAAGACAGTCCAGGGCTGGCATAGTGGCTCCAGAGGTCTTTAGTGACCCAGACCTCTTCCATCCCTACAATTTGGCTCATGGATCTTGTGGTCCAGTATGGCAGCTGGAGCTCCAGCTATCACATCTGCATTCCAGGCATCAGGTCAAAGGGTGGGACAAAGAATGTGGGGTGCCCCTTGGCCACAACTTAGTCATATGGCTACGCCTAGCTGCAAGAGAGACAGAACAGCCTTTAGGAGATGCCAACAGTTCTCTGTCCCAAGAAACTTTTTTTCCCCATTCCACGTGACACCCCTGAGAACACAGTTTGAGAAGGATGTTGTGGGCCTTTGGGCCATGTTAACACTCCACAGTAGAGACCTGAATTTTTGGTGGCGCAGAGTGACCTCTGGGACTGGGGGACATGGGGCAGGTGACTTCTGAAGTTCTTTCTGGCTAGACAGTGTGGTTCTGGGCCCCTTGAGGGCTGGCTGCAGGGATGGCCTGCCTTCCTCCGTCAAGCTTGGTTTCATCTTTGGTGCTTTGAGGATATTTAACCTTCTGTTGCCTGTGTCCTGAACTAACCACCACTAACCCGGTGCTCTTGTCTGTCTCTCCCCTAACCATCCCCTCCCGCCTGTCCTTGTTCCCACCGGCCCCCGTCCCCAGGCGGGCCAGGCTATGCTGGCCTTCCAGCGGTACCAGATTGGCGCCGACTCGGCCCTCTTCTCCCAGGACTACATGGACCCCAGCCAGGACTCCAGCATGCCTTACGCCCCCTACGTGGAGCCCAGCGCCGGGCCTGACCCCGCCGGCATGGGCGGCACCTACCAGCAGCCGGCCAACGCCTTCGATGCCGAGCCCCAGGGCTACCAGTCGCAGGGCTACTGAGCCGCAGTGACCGCCTGCCCCCCGCCTGCCCCAGCCGCCCCTGCCCCCTCCCTCCATACCTAGCCCCCTGCTCCCTCCCTGGCTGCCCTGCCCAGCACCTCATCAGCCTCCGGGTTCCACAGAGGTCCAGGGCAGCTCGGGGTGGGATGGGGCAGTAAGGTGGTGGGGGGTCAACATGTGTGTGCAATTGTGTCCAGCAGGGGCCTGGGGGGTTTGCATTCATTCACTGTGTCATTGAGCATTCATTGAGCGCTTACTGTGTGCCAGGCCTGTGCTCGGCTTGGGTGGTGAAAGAGAAATGGTCCCTGGAAAGGGAGAAGTCAGGATGTGGAGGAGGCCCTGTTGGTACCAGAGCTGGGGGTGGTGGGAAAGATGGAGGGGGATGATGCCGGGAAGGTTTGGCTGCAGGGTGAGTGTGAACCCCCACAGGACACTGGGGGCTGTCCCCTGCTGGAGTGGCACAGCAGCCCTGCAGGAGTGTTGGGGCTGTCTCCATTCTATGGTTGAGGAAACTGAGGCCTGGAGAGGTCAAGGTCACTCACCCAAGGTCACTCAGGCGGCCAGTGGTGGAGGTGGGGCCAAGCCCAGGCCGCCTGACTGCAGACCACCCTCTGTCCCCCGTCCTCCTGCCTCCCTGTCTCTGAGCCTGGGGCTGCACCGCTCAGTGCTACCGTCCCTCTGGGAGGCCCTGGGGACCTTAGCCCATGAGACACCCTGATTCTGCTGCAAGCCAGGGGCCTGTTCTGCCCCGGCTGTCCCCCCAGCAGGGCAGCTCTGCCTCCAGGCCCTTCTCCTCACATCCCCAGCGGCCCCTCCCCTGGCCTCCTCCCAGGCTGGGAGAGCCAAGAGGCTCGCCTCACTCACGTGTTTCCCGGGTTCTGCGCCTGTCCCACCGGGAGCTCCAGTGCCCCGCCTGTGGCCTCCCGAAGGACTGACCACTGTCCCTGCCTCTAGGAGGGGCTCACTAGGTCCTTGCCCAGGGCAGGGTGGAAGAGGAGGCCCAGAAGGGGGAGTGACTGGCCCAAAGTCACAGTGAGTGAGTGGCAGAGCTGGGCTGGCTGCCTGGGGCTCTTGCCCCAGCCACCCAGCAGGTGCCCCGATTCCCTGCCCTTGTGACCTCCCAGGAAACAGAACTGATCTGGGACACTGTGTCATCTTTCCCTCAGCCTGCGTCAGCCAGGGGTTCAGGGGATGGAACAACCAAGGGCATGGAGGGTCCTTCCCCTGGCCTTCCAGTAGGCCTGCCGAGGGGCCAATCTCCCTGTACGAGGCAGAGTAGAGGGGACAGGGACTCTGGGCCCAGCAAGGGCAGCCTGTGAGCTGCTACCGTGGGACACACTGCCCCCAAGATGAGCAGTGAGAGCCTCTGGGGCATGGTAGAGGCCACTGGCTGTAGGGGAAAGGGTAGCAGGTGTCCCCAAAGGCACAAGGAGGGTTGTGGGGGGCAAGGAGGGACTCTTGCACAAGATGGGCTCTTCACTGAGCCTTAAGGACAGAGAGGCCTGGAGGGTAGAGAGAGGTGTGGGGAGGCCTGGGGCCCAACGCCCACCAGCTGGTGCCTCAGGGAGCAGGGCAGGGGGATTGTGGGTTGGCACCTGCGGGGTGTGCCCACTACCAGCACCCCATGCCCCCACAAGAGCCCTAAGGGGCCAGTCATATTCACTCACTTGCCGGTTGATTCAGCAATTAGGGTGTACCTGTGTGGTGAGGTCCCTGTGCTGGGGGAGCTGACAGTCCATCAGAGACGAGCACTAAAGCAACAACTGGACCCAGGGTCCCTTACGGGGGCGAAGCACAGGACAAGTGCACGACGGGCTGCGGCTCCCCTAGGAGGGGCCCTGAGGATGGGCAGGAACTAGCCTGGTAACAAGGGAAGGAGAAGGAACTTCCTAGGCAGAGAAGTAGCATTGTTGTCCCCACTTAACAGAAGGGCAAACTGAGGCTCGGAGCATGAGTTAGCAGTAGAGCACAGATCTGAACCAAGTCTGTGCAGGTCCTCCCAGGGGCAGCAGTGATGGGGGGACCCCAGACAGCGACAACAGCTGGTTGTTGCTGACTTCAATTTTCCACTTCTGGGGAAGGGGCTCTGTCTATGGTTCTTCCCCCCAGGTGGCCCAAGTGGGGACAGGATGGGGTCGTGGTGTCCACCAGGCTGAGCAGTGGAACCTGTGCAGGACCAGAGGTTTTTGAAGCAGGTGAAGGTGTGGGCGTGTTTCTGGCGGAGCAATGTTCTGTGTCCAGGCAGGAAGCTGTGAGAAGTCCTCCCTCTCGCCCATTCCCCACCAAAAACCCCCCTGCTGATGGGCACTGGAGGCCCTAGGGCACTGCCCACCTGTGCTCCCTGGGCACTGACCCCTGCCTAGTGATGCTGGGCTGGAGGGCAGGGTACCATTTAAGCTTCACACAATCCCTGGGTGTTGATTACAGACGCCCCCTGCCGCCCCAGCCTGGGAAAGTTTACAAGACCTCTGCCAAGAGCAGGGGGTGCTGACTCATCTCACTCCGCATTCCTCACTCGTTGAGGTACAGCCCAGACACAACCCCACCATCAGGCTGGGCGCTGGCAGGGGCCGGCCCATGGTGGTGAGAAAGGGCTAGGGATGCTGGAGGGCAGGATTTGGGTGGGACCCAGGGCCCCTGACTTCCCTGCTGGGAGGCTGGCGGGGAAGCCCTGCTCCTTCTGTTGGCTGAGGACAGCCCCTGGGGGCCCCAAGCTTAGAGCCTGTGCTCACAGGCCAGCGGTGTCCCCTTTTCCTTCCCTGCTGCCCCCCTCTGTCTCTCCCTTGCTTCCAAGCCTTCCCTTGGACAAGGGTCCCCTGCAGTCTGACCTTGCAGAGTTTTGGCTCCCTCCTCCCATCAAGCACAAGAGAGGGCCCAGGAGAACTGGATTGCACAGGAGTTTAGAGCTGCAGGGACCCTTAGAGACGGCGGAGTCTGGGCCAGGAAGGCAGCGACTGACCCAAGTCAAGCACAGAGCTAGAGGTTGGAATCCAGGTTTCCTGCCTCTGAGTTGACACTCATCCTGCGCAGTCACACGCCGTCCGGGTGCGGCTCCTGGTCCACCTGGGGTGTGACAGTTGAGGGACTAACTCCCAGGGGCCTGGCATCCGCTCCCCACTCCCACCTTCCCTGGTGATTCTTGACCTTCAGAGACTCTTAGGGGTCCCAGGCTTTCCCCATGTAACCGAGAACCCCCACTTGTGACCCCTTGGGGGCCCCCCAACCTTGGCCTGAGACCCCTTTGATTCTCTAAGGAGCATGAAGGAGGAGCACCCCTCCTAAGAGTTTGTGGGAGGGTAGGCTGGTCCAGCCATCTCCCAGCGCTGCCCCTTGCCGTGACACTCCCCGTCCCCTGTGCCCACAGCCCTGGTGTGGGTGCCCTGGCCCCTCCCGCAGCGTTACTGCCTGTGTATAGTATAAATATATATATTTTCTATATGTAAGATGTATAATATAAGGCTCCACAAATATATCGGTGTGTGTGCGTGTGTGCAGTGAATGGTGGTCCCCACCTTGGGCCCCCACTCTGAACTCCCCACCACCTGGTTAAGTCTCTCAAGAGTGAATCCAGTGGCCCTGTGGCACCCTCCTTTATGACATCTGTCCATTTGTGATGAACCAAGTAAAGGTGGTGACTTCTGGTGACACAGTAATAAAGGAAAAATTCAAAACCCACCAGCTGGTTGCAGCGTGCAGCGTGTCGTGGTGGTTTTTTTTGTTCCTCATGAGTGTGGCTTGGGATTGCCCATCCTCCCTGTCTCCCCTGACCTGGGACACGCTTTATTTGTTCATTATTGTTCAGTAGAAAGTGAAATCATTACAGCTGAAGCTGACACCCTCCAACTTTGCATGTGTGCATGCACGCACATGGGCATACACATGCACACACCCTGTGACCATTCCCCATCCTGGTCCCTTCCCCAACCCCCAGAGGCAAGCAAGATTAGGAGCTCGGCCTCATTCCTTCCAGACCATTCCCGTGCTCTTATGCACACGTATGTTTGCAGGATGCTGTTTTATTTTATTTGTGTGTGTGTGTGAGGAAGATCAGCCCTGAGCTAACATCCGTGCCAATCCTCCTTTTTGCTGAGGAAGACTGGCTCTGGGCTAACATCTGTGCCCATCTCCCTCCACTTTATATGGGACGCCACCCCAGCGTGGCCTGACAAGCGGGGCATCTGTGCGCACCTGGGTTCCGAACCTGGGCCGCCAGCAGTGGAGCATGTGCACATAAGTGCTACGCCATGGGGCTGGCCCCTGCAGGATGCTGTTTTTAAAGTTAGTGGCCCTGAGCTGGCACAATATTTATCCAGACCCTATAAAGTGCCAGACGCTGCCCTGGGCCCTACGAGTTCAACCATGAACGAGGTAGATGGCCCCTGCCCTTGCAGGGACGGTCTTCCAGCAGGGGAGACGGGCGGTAAACCAACATGCCAGCAAAGATGTGACTTGTGGTAAGTGGAGAGAAAGTCAGGAGATGCGGTTAGACCTGGGCTCAGAGCCCCTCCGAGCAGGTGACACTTAACCTGAGCTCTCTAGGATGAGCAGGGGTTGAGTGGCAACGAAGTGGGCTAGTGAGCATTCTGGAGAGAGGAACTAGAACGCGGAGACCCAGGTCAGGGAAGAGCTTGGGAGCGGTGGACGCCCAGGAGACAGTGAGGAGGGACAGGCCGGAGGGTCCCACCGCGCAGCGCCTTGAGGCCTCCGTGGGAGGTTTGGTTCATACTAAGTGATGTGGAACTCACGGAAGGGCGGGTGACCATCCTGGTGTGTGCTTTAAAAAGCCACTCTCGTGGTCAGATGGCAGTCAAGGGGCTGCTGCCCATTGTTGGGACAGGAAGGTCACCATGGCGTTGGGGAGAGTGGAGGCAGTCAGGATATGTTTGAGGAATATATCTGTAAATGATGGGCGGAGTAAGAGGGGTGAGGTAGCTGTGAGAACCACCGCCGAGTACAAGAGGCGCTGGAACTCAAGACCCGAGGGGACGGCCCGGTGGCGCGCTCCGCTGCGGCGGCCCGGGGTTCGCTGGTTCGGATCCCGGGCGCGCACCGACGCACTGCTTTGGCAGGCCATGCTGTGGCGGCGTCCCATATAAAGTGGAGGAGGATGGGCACGGATGTTAGCCCAGGGCCGTCTTCCTCGGCAAAAAAAAGAGGAGGATTGGCGGATGTTAGCACAGGGCTGATCTCCTCACAAAAAAAAAAAAAAAAAAAAAGACCCGAGGGGAGGAGCAGGTGAGCCGGGCCTCCATGTGGGGCTGTCAGTCACAGTGCTGGCCCCGCCCACACCCCATGACTAAGCCAATCAGACTGCTTCCCTCCACAATGGGGTGGCGCGGTTGGTGGATCCAGTGGGAGGAGGCACGGACTCCGAGAGAAAGCGGAGAGCGGCGGGTTCCTGTCCACCCGGGTCCTACCCGCCGTTTGCTTTAAGGAGGCCTGAGGGCCGCAACTGCTTGCAGTCAAGAGCCCGCCCACCCCCAGAAGGCCCGGCCCTGAGGCTGCTGCCCGCCAGAGGAAGCGGACCCCTGGGACACAGAGGGGCCGGGCTCCAACCGCTGGCCAAGCCTCCCAGCCCT